CCAGCCTCGAGCTCTGGGACACCAGCGGAGTGTCCCAACTTCTCCGAGCCCATGAACCAGCCCTCCCCCACCCCCACACCCCCCTCCTGTCTGCAGCTACATCGGGGACTGCGAGATCAGCGTGGAGCTGCAGAAGATTCAGGCCGGCGTGAACGGGATCCAGGTGGGTGAACGGCAGGTCAGGGCTGGGCAGGAAGCTGCCCGTGCTGGGGCCAGCCGAGGTGGTGGCATGACACCACGCAGGCTGGTGGCAATCCAAGAGCTGTGGCTGGAGGTCGCAGGCCAGAGAGCGGCGGCCAGGTGTGATGAAGCATCCCCCTCCTGCGTCTGATTACAGAGTGCGCCAAGGGCTTGGGGTCCCGTGTCTGGAGCGATGAGAGCCACTGCTTAGCTCAGGAGTGGGTCCCGAGGTGGAAATGCTCCTCCCGGGAGTAGAGGAGTGAGCCAGGGCTGAAAGCACACCCAGGCCCCGATGCCGGCTGGCCTGACGCTGGGCAGTGGTGGGGCCAGCTTGGGGCCCTTGGTTACTGGCAGAGGCTGGCAGCTGCATCCAGGCCTCGGTGCCCGCTGGGCTCTGTTGTGAGAGCAGGTGGCCTGCGGCACGTGGTCCTGACATCTGGGGTGGCCCGGGTGTGAGGTGGGGCAGCACTGAGCCCTGCTGTGTGCAACGGTGTGGGAAGGGAGGTGGGTGGCCCTCACGGCCAGCCCTCACGGCCCTTCCTGCCGTGCAGCTGCAGGGCACCCTGCGCATCATCCTGGAGCCCCTCCTGCTGGACAAGCCCTTCCTGGGAGCCGTGACCGTGTTCTTCCTGCAGAAGCCGGTGAGTCCTTGAGGACTCAAGGCGGGGGGCCTGTTGTCCCCGTGAGTGCACACCCTCCTGTAACCCCAGCACCAGCTGAGCCCAAGAATGGCATGGCCACAGCCCACCCAGACCCAGGCACCCATGTGCTGACCACATTTACGGCAGCCCGAGGAGATACACTGGCCTCTCCGAGACCAGGGGGCCTGAGTCTTTCCAACCTTCGGCCTAAGTTGACACTCGAACTGGAGCTCTCGGAGGCCACGCTGGGCTGCAGCCCCCAGAGGCTCCGTGGTGGGCCTGGCAGGGCAGCCCCACAGTCCCTGCCACCTTGAGTGGAGGCCTGGCTCTCGTACGCTGAGGGCCCTCACTGCCCACCCCCGACTGAAGGCGTCCCTCTGTAGGCCGGGCTCTCCATCCGGGAGGCACGGCCCCTTGGAGGGGGTTGTCTGCCCCGGGCTCCCGGCCTCTCCAGCCTTATGGTCTCCCTCTGGCCTGCAGCACCTGCAGATCAACTGGACAGGGCTGACCAACCTGCTGGACGCACCGGGAATCAAGTACGTGCCTGGGAGATGCTCCCAGGGGACCCCGGGGGACCAGGCTGCACCCCTGCATGAGGAGTGGGGCAGGCACCGACCCCCATCCTGGGGAGGCGTCTGAGTTTGCAGGAGCTGGGAGGCTGATGTCATCGTGTGTCCCCTGCAGACACAGTGCCCAGCACACGCGCACACACACACACACAAACACACGCACACACGGGTGTCCTCTCTTCCTCACTCCACCTCCTCCCTGACCCAGGTGTGGAGTGAGAAACCCATATGATTAGTCACAGGCATGGGAGGGGACAGTGGTCACAGGGGGCCAGGGAGGGGAGGAGCTGGTCTGAAAGATGCAACCTTCTGGGGCTAAGGAGGACTGCTCAGAGCTCCAGGCCTCGTTCACCGGGGACGTCGCTGCTGCTCCTAGCTGCTCGGACAGATCCAGCCATGTGATCTTAGACAGCCAAACACGTCCCCTGAGCACTCGCTGTGTGCCCGTCCTGGCACCACCCCTCCCCCAGACTCGGGTCTGTCCGCAGGTGTGAATGTCCACCTGGTCCATGCGACCTCTGTCCAGGACGGGCTGTGGCAGCTACTCGTACACGCCCTGCCATGGCCAGCACTCTCCCACACCTGGCCCGTGCTGCCCCACCCTCACAATGACGTTGGGAGCTGGCAGAGGGGTCGCATAGCCGCTGGGCATGGAGCCGAGCTTCTCTGCAGACCCCAGGGCTGTCTTGGCCAGCTGTGCTGCCCCAGAGGGCAGAGGGGCATGGACTGGGGCCACTGCAGGCACAGGACCCCAGGGCTGGTGCATCGTGGGCACCCCAGGCAGCGTGGGGTCAGGGCTCCTCCTGGGAGGGCAGGGGTGCGGGGAGGTGCGACACCCCCAGAACTGGTGGTGCTGCCGTCCCAGCGAGGTGTCGGACAGTCTGCTGGAGGACCTCATCGCCGCGCACCTGGTGCTGCCCAACCGCGTGACCGTGCCCGTGAAGAAGGGGCTGGACGTGACCAACCTGCGCTTCCCTCTGCCCCGCGTGAGTGCCCAGGGAGGTGCCCTCAGGGGTGACCCTGGTTTACCTCCCGAGAGCGTGGCATCCCATTTTACAGGGCGGGGCTGGGGAGGCCCAGTGACTTGCCCAGAGTCACTCATCCAGACTCGGGTCACCCCGTGTGGCCTGTGTTGAGAAATGCCGTGGGTGGTCACCGCCCCCATGAAACTGGGAGCCTCCCCTTCTCCCCCCTGACTCCATCAACTTGGGAAGAATCTATGGTTCTAATGGGAAGGAGAATTCATTTCTTTTTGTTGGTTTATTTGGATTTTTCTAGAAGGTATGTGTACTCATTAGAGAGAGACAGAGAAAAAGACAGGGAAAAGGGGACAGCACCCCAGTGAGGGATGGTCCCTCTGCAAGCCCTGCTCCTTGGGGGATGTCGGGCACACATGCGCAGTGTGTCTTCAGGTCACTGGGTCTGGGACTAGAACTGTGCGGTCAGCCATGTGGGATCAGGCTGCCCTAACCACCATGCCACCAGCTGGCCCAGGGAGGAGAATCCTTGATTGAGGCAGGACGTGGGCCTTCCTCGGGTTGAGAACTCATGTCCTCCCCCAATCCTGGGCCTAGCTCAGAAAGTCTCTCTAGAAGAGTGCCCTGACCGTGGGCCTGAGCCCATCAGGGCTGGGAGTCATGGCCCCACAGGGGTAGGGTAAGTGCCCATTTTTACCACCAGTACCAGGTGTGAGGCACTGGCTTCTCCACGTGCCTGATTTACACTCCTACTCAGGCCTGCACGTCCACGCACAGTGGTAAGGCCTGGGGACACAGGCTGGCTGGAGAGGTGGCACGTGGTCCTCCCAGCCCACACAGTGGTGCACGATTTCATCTCCCACCTCTGCTGTGTGCGACAGGCCCAGAGCGCCAGCGTGCGCCATCGCCCACTCTCTCCAGAGGGAAGGTCCCGCTGGGCCACACTGCCAGAGTCTGACGTGCAGACTCGCTTGGAGTAAAACTCGAGTTTATGCCGAGTGAACTCGCCTCTCTGTGCGTTTACTACAACTGGCCACAGACAGTGACGATCTGTCCTCCATTCCCCGGGTTAACTTGGACTTTAACTTGTTTTATTATTTTATTTATTTTTGCCATCGGGCACATGTGCCTGCCAGAAAGAGAGGAGGAGATTGAGAAGTCACCTGCTGGGGGAATGGCCACGGCCATGTCACAGTCCCTTCTCCATTCCCCTCTCGGGGTCTTGGGCGTGCACACACACACACCTGGCATGATTTTCAAGCCGCCGGATCTGGGACTAGAACCATGGCTGGCCATGTGGGAGTCCTTAACCATCAAATCCACCCACTGGTCCCCTTAACTTCATTTTATAAATATGTAGGCCAGTTGTACAGTTCCAAAGCTCCATGAGAGGTCTGGTTTTATTTTTCTTTTTTATTCTTATTTTCTTTCTTATTTTTATTTTTTTATTTTCTTATTCTGGTTTAGGAATCTGGCCTTTATCTCTCGTGCTTTCCACCTAATTCCCATTCTCCTCTGTAAGTAATGGCTTAGCCTTCCATTGTCTTTTTTTTTTTTAAAGAATGATTTAATTGTATTTATTTATTCATTTATTTTAATTTGACCAGAGAGAGACATAGAGAGAGAGAAGAAAAGTGAGAAAGTAAGCTGTCAGGTCTAGGACTTGAACCGTGGTCAGCCATGTGGGAGTCCAACGTCTTAACTACCACACCACCTGCTGGACACCCTTCCATTTTTTTTTTTTAAAGAATTATTTAGGGACCAGCAGTTAGCGTAATGGCTATGTCACTGGACTCCCATGTAGTCCAGCGTTTCGAGTCTCAGACCTGGTGGCTTAAACTCACGCCGGGCGGGTGTGCGTGCGTGCCCAAGATCCCGAGAGGAGAACGGAGGAGAAGGGATTGCGGCATGGCCATCCCCCCTGGGGGGTGATTTCTCGCTTTCTATCTCTCTGTCTCTGTCTTTCTGGCAAGTGCACACGCCCTATAGCAAAAACCTCTCCCCCCCAAAAAATTATTTTATTTAACTTTATTTATTTAGTTTATTTGTATTCATTTATTTTAATTTGACCAGACAGAGTGAAAGAGCAATGGAAAGTGAGAAAATAAACTGTCAGGTCCAGGACCCGAGCTGTGGTCAGCCATGTGGGAGTCTGGCACCCCTAACCATCACGCCACCTGCTGTCCCCAATTTTTCATTTTTTAAAAATATAAATACAGACACACACACATCATGTGTGTACATACCTGTCCACACTCCCTGTCTGATAACTGGTGGCATATCAGTTTTCCCCACCTCGCTTTTATCACTGAACGTCTAGTCTGTCTCTCCTTGAACCCTGCTTTTCCTAACTCCTGTGTGCTGCTTTTGCTAACAGAGCTCTGAGTTTTCATCCCCAGCAGCTGTCGTGGCGGTGTGGGAAGGGGTCGGGCCGTGGTGAGACCCATGCTGGGCCTTCCCGAGTCCAGGACCTGCTGCAGTGGCAGGCCGTGCCCGCAGGGAGGCGCCCGGGCCCAGGGAGGACAGTGTTGGGGCTCAGCCCGCGTGCAGGTTTCTCAGCGCGGCTGGAGGAGAGGAGGACACCTCCTCGGGTGGCACGAGGGCACAGAGGGGCAGAGAGCTGCATCTGAGCGAGCCGTTCACCGGCAGTTTGTGGGCGTGTGGGAAAGCCCAGGATGTGGTAGGGCAGGCCCCACCGCAGAGCGCCCCGGCCCTGCCCGCACTTGCCGAGGACTCTCCGGATCCCTGCAGTCCCTGGCTCCCCGCTGTCCCTGGCTCTGTCTTCACGATCAGACAGTGGCGACAGTGGCGGGGGGGCGATGATCTCTGGCGCCTGGCCCTGATCCGCCCCGAGCCCGGGCTGGCAGGCCCTGGGAGCAGCCGTGAGCCCCGTGCTTGGGCACTTTCCAGGGGGTGATCAGAGTCCACTTGCTGGAGGCGGAGAACCTGGCCCAGAGGGACAGCTTCCTGGGGCTGCGAGGCAAGTCAGACCCCTATGCCAAGGTGAGCATCGGCCTGCAGCATTTCCAGAGCAGGACCATCTACAAGAACCTCAACCCCACCTGGAACGAGGTATTTGAGGTGAGGGTCTCCACGGCGGCTCTGGGCAGCCCTGGTGCCGTCCTCGCTCCTCCCGGCTCGTGTGGGGCACAGACGAGGACGCCGGGACTCACGGCTCTTACTGGGCGGAGTGTGCGCGGGTGGTGGGCGCGGGCAGGCAGGGCTGTCGGTCCCACTCCCAGATCCACCGGGCTTGCCTATAGGGCCGTGCAGATCCTCCTCCTTTCCCCACTGTCAGCTCTTGCTGGAGTTTTCAAATCAAGGCAGTGAGGCAGCTCTGCCTCCGTCTTCCCAGCCTCAGCTCCCAGAGCCAGACTTCAGGAGCCCCAGCTCTTAGGTTCAGCCGAGTCCCTGCCCCTTAAAGGGTGGGATCCCCAGCTTAGCGCCTTGAAGGCCCTGGGCTTCCACGTTCCAGGGGCCCCCTCCTAGGTGGCTTCTCCCAATATGCCACCTGGATTGGGTGCTCGGGCACATCTGGGGAGAAGTAGTGACCGCAGGGGTGATAAGGGCAGCTTGGTTTCCTGGTGTTCCAGAGGAAGCTGCAGGCCCCACACAGAGCCACCGCGGCCACTGCCCCTGAGCAGAGCTGCCGCCCCTGGGCTCGCAGACATGCCTTCTAACCTCCCTAGCGCCCTGCACAGGAGGGCCAGCACCCTCCTGATGGTGGGGTTCTGGAAGCACTAAGGGGGCCAGTGCTGCTGGGGCTCCCAGCCAAGGTCTGGCTCTGCTGCGTCCCCTCTGAGGTCTGTGGTCACTGTGGTCTGCACATCTGTGTCCTTCCAGTTCATGGTGTACGAAGTGCCCGGTCAGGACCTGGAGGTGGACCTGTATGACGAGGACCCCGACAAGGATGACTTTCTGGGCAGGTGAGGAGGGCAGGGCAGGTCTAGGGAAGCCTCCCCTGCCTGGCCTTGAGACACAGGCACCCCTGCAGCCCCCGTGCAGTGACCCACAGCCCTCTGTGCTCACTCTGACAGGGCGATGTGTCAGACCAGCACTCTGCGTTTCTGCCAGAAACTTCCAGATGCCTCCCGAGTGCGCAGCCTCAGTCTAGGCTGGAGTGGGGGTGGGGGTCCAGTGAAAGCTCTGAACTCGGGCACCACAGGCTCTGTTTCCATCGTCCTGATGAAGTACCACAGTCTCCACCTAGAGCCATGTGCGAGCTGCCATGGATGGCCAGGTGCCGGGTCCCAGGGAACCCTGGCTGTGCTCTCTGAGGTGGAACCCACACCTTCAGGGCCATGGCAGAACCAATGGCTGGGTTAGCATTGGCGACATCAAAAGCCCAGATTTGGGACCAGCAGATGGCATACCAGTTACGTTGCTAGACTCCTGGTTGAGTCCTGGACTCGGTGGCTTCAAAGTCATGCTAGGCATGTGTGCGTGCATGCCCAGTATCATGGGAAGAGAAAGGAGAAGAAGGGATTGTGGTGTGGCCATCCCCTTCTCAATTTCTGCCTCTCTGTCTCTCTCTGTGTCTCTCTGGTGAGCACATGCATCCTATAGCAAAAATCTGTCTTTTTTTTTTTGAGAAGTTTTTGCTATAGGGCACATGTGCTCGCCGGAAAGACAGAGAGAGACAGAGAGACAGAAAGTGAGAAATCAGCCCCCCGGAGAGATGGCCATGCCACAATCCCTTCTCTCCCATTCTCTTCTCGGGATCTTGAGCACACATGCACATGCACCCAGCGTGAGTTTAAGCCACCGGGTCTGGGACTCGAACCGCAGTAGACTACATGGGAGGTCAGCAACATAGCCATTATGCTAACTGCTGGTCCCTAGCAAAAATCTCTTTAAAGACCAGCAGATGGTGTAATGGTTATGTCACTAGACTCCCACATAGTCTACTGCGGTTTGAGTCCTAGACCCGGCGGCTTAGAACTCATGCCAGGTGCACGTGTGTGCATGCTAAAATCCCAAGAGGAGAATAGAGAGGGGATCGTAGCGTGGATGTCCCCTCTGGAGGGTGATTTTTCACTTTCTGTCTGTCTCTCTCTGTCTCTTCAGCAAGCACACACGTCCTATAGAAAAGCAAAAACAATAACAACAAAAAAGCCCCCAAAAAACACTTTAAAAAAACACAGAAGAAAAACACTCAGTTCGCCTGTGTTGGCCAGCCTCAGTCTGACCCCAGGACTCTCCTGTGACAGATAGACACTAGTCCTGCAGTGTGCGCTGCAGAGGTATTTGTGGTAACAAAACATAAACACCTGGGAGTTTCTAAGGCCCCGGGCTGAGTGTGCAAACAGCCTACAGTCCTCTGCAGCGTGTAAAAGCAGTGTCCCTCGTGCACACCGGCTGGGAGGACATCAGGGAGGGGCAGTAAGTGAGGGGAGCAGCAGGGGTCTGGCGTGGTCAGCCCATCTCCCCAGAAGGCTCCCGGTGTATTTTGCATGTCTGGCCAGCAGAGGGCATGGAGGCTGCCCGGCGGGCCGACGGTGCTCCTCGGCTCCTTCACGCAGACCCTCACCTTCCTGTGCTGCTCAGCATGTCGTTCTAGAGAGCAGAAATGAGGCTAAATAGGGGTGCAGTCTGACCGCACACCAAACGGCTCACCCTAGACATGATCGTTTTTTATTTTCCATCTTAATCAAAAAAAAAAAGTTGTGACTTTTGTAAAGCTGCAGAGGTTAGGATTATGGCTTGTGCTTCATACTAAGCTGGTTTCTGAGGTGTATACTATTAATATAAAGTACTGTGATCTTGTATTAGAATATATGTAGCAGGACCAGCAGTTAGTGTAATGGCTATGTGGCTGAACTCCCACGTAGTCTACTGCAGTTCAAGTCCCAGACCCGGTGGCTTAAACTCACACCAGGTACGTGTGCGTGCGTGCCCAAGATCCCGAGAGGAGAATGGAGGAGAAGGGATTGCAGCGTGGCCAATCCCACTTGGGCGGTGATTTCTCGCTTTCTGTCTCTCTGTCTCTCTGGCGAGTGCACGTGCCCTGTAGCAAAAACCTCTCAAAAACAAAAAAAAGAATTCTTTTAGTTAACTTTATTTATATATTTTAATTTGAACAGAGAGGGACAGAGTGAGAGAGAAAAAGTGAGAAAGCAAGCCAACAGGTTCAGGACTCGAACTGTGGCAGCCATTAGGGAGTCCAGTGCCCATAACCACCACACCACCTGCCGGTCCCTTAAAAGCTCATTTCTAACAGTTCCATAGAACTAGTTTTCCTGCTGGCTCTCAGGCCCTTCCGGTTGGGCTCGGTTCAGGGTGGGTTCAGGGCAGGTTCAGCGTGGGTTAGGGATGGCGGAGACCTGAGTGTTACCTCCTCTCTAACAGCCAGCTCTCCTTACCTCTGGGGGCAATGTGGGCTGTTACAGTGACTGTGGGGAGGTGGTGTCAGGGTGAGCAAAGCCCTGCGTGCAGGGACACGGTGTGCAAAGGCTGGTGGCACTGCTGTCCGGAGGCAATGGGATCCACCCCTCCCAGGCAGGCGGCGTGCGTGACGGAGCAGCTCCGATAGCTGTCCTTCCTTCACGGGAGCTGGCGTTGGCCCCTGGGGGTTTCTTGGGATGGGTAAGCGTCTTACGGCCCTACTCAGAGAGTGGAGAAGAGTCGGGGTGGGCCTGAGTCTAGCTGACCCGACCCCGTCTCCCATCTGTTGCAGCCTGCAGATCTGCCTGGGAGACGTCATGGCCAACAGAGTGGTGGACGAGGTAGGGCCTGCACCCCGGGGTCCCAGCGTGCCTCCCTCCTGTGTCAGCCGAGCAGGTCGCTCCGGCCCAGCTGGTTCTATAAAATGGGCCCCTTCCGTGCTGGGTTCTAAATGTGCCGTCCCGAGGGGCAGAGGCTGGGAGAGGCACAGATGGCTCCGGGGGCCTCCCCAAACCCGTGCCGGGGCCCAGATTGGCAGAGCTTCCTGGGAAATGCCCATGGGCTGGAGGCCTGAGCCGGGCTGTCACACCCCAGTGCCAGGACCCCTCAGCGCTCTGCCTCCCTCGCCAGCCCAGGCCGAGTGTCCCTGGTTGGGCTGCAGGTCCCAGGGCTGAGCTTCCCGGGGTCAGTGGCATCTCCCTGGCCCCACCCTGAGCGCCCGTCCCCCTGTCCCTTCCTGCAGTGGTTTGTCCTGAATGACACGCCCAGCGGGCGGCTGCACCTGCGGCTGGGGGGGGTGGGGATAAGCACA